GCCTTTGCACCTCTTGCTTGAACCTCACTTTGCCTCACTGGCTGCTCTGGGGGGGTCCTTCCCCTCCTGGGAGAACCCCTGATGTCCCAAAAGAGGGGGCAGCCCTCGTGCATCACCGGAGGAGGGTTTAAACCCCCATTTCCCCATGGCAGAGTCCTTCCCTGGGCGAAAGGCGGGGATCTGGCACCCAAATTCACTCTCCTGGGGGAGAGGGAAGGGCTCTGGTGTCCCCACCCAGCCTTTGAGCTGGACACCCCCTTGCACTTCTCTCTGGGCATCCCACAACGATGCCACTAAAAACCATCCGGTCCCAGGAGCCAAGGGAGGGGGAAGGAAAAAAAAAAACCACCAAAAAAGAGAGGTATAAAAGAAAGCAAGCGGCACACCACAGAGCCGAGTGCGTTAGTCGTCAGCAGGCAGGGGGGCCAGGCGGGACAGGGGGGGACGCGTACCTTCAGCTTGGACTGAATCTCACGAGATTTCCGTCGGGCAAGAACCTGCAAGTGGCTAGAGACCTGCAGAGAGAGAGCAGAAGGAGAGGGGGAACAGCAGAGCCGTCAACCAGAGGAAAGGAGGAGGAAGGAGAGGGGCTGCCCATGCTCACAGAGACACCGCCGCGGACACCTGGGCAAGGGCGCCAACGTACCTTGATGCCAACCTGGTACTCCCGCACCTTCTTCCGAGCTAGAACCTGTATGTGGCTGGACACCTAGCGCCCGCCACGCCATTCGGAAAGGAAAATACAGAGAGCGTGAAGATATGTTCCCCCCGCAAGGATGTTGCCCCCGGGGAAGGGAGCGCGGAGAAGGGGGGGAGCGCGCGGGGCTGCCGGGGTGATGCTCCTGGAGATGCTGAGGGTCCTGCAACCGCCGTGAGCTGGAGGGAGGAAAACGGGGGGAGCCCGGCGCTGCGCTGATTGATGCTGGTTTGTGCCCGCCACCCCGGTTGGGGTGAAGCTCCTCGGGGTGCAGCTGCTGCAGTTGAGGGGGTCTGTGTTTACCACCTCTTGGGGCTTCCCGGACAGACAGACGCCCCCCCCAACCCCTGCAAGCGCAACGATCTGCTGCTTGCACACAGCGCTGAGCATACAGCCCGGCTGGTTTGGGGTGCCCCTGGGTTATCCCAGGTGGGGCTGCAGCAGGACTGCCAGTCCCAAGGGAGATCCAGGAGGGACCGGCTCATTCCCCCAGGGCTCCTGCTGATTTCGCAGGTGGGAAAGGTGAGACGAGGGTTGGGGTTTTTTTTTTTGTGTCCAGACCCCTGTAAGAGCAGGATCCAAAGAAAAGGGCCTGATGTACAGGCAGGAAAGGTGCAGCGTGGCTGGGGTGCCTGCCCCAAGCCCCAGGCAAGGGTGGGGGTCCCAGCACCCACTGAGCACCGGGGCTGATTTCAGCAAGATCCTTCTCCCACCAGCGCCAGACTGTCCAAGACGGGACACCAGGCTGTCCAGGCCATGACTGCACAGACGGGACGATGCCACATGCACTCGCCCCCGTGCCTTTTCCGAGTCCCCCCAGAGCATCACTTTCGCCCAGCGCCACATCCTTCCCCCCATGGGGGGGGGGCCCAGGGGGTCCAGTTAAGGCTTTAAGCCAGAAATAAAGCGCTGCTCAGCGCTGGTCTGAACACAAGGACGATGGCCGGACCCTGGTCCCTCTCCCTGCAGCATCAGTCCTGGAGGGATGTCCCCCCTCAGTGCCTGGGGACCAGCGTCCCTCCCTTGCGGGGGGACTCATGGCACAGGACAGTCCCAACATAAGTGTCCCCATGCCCCAAAGCCATCCGTCCCCCTGTGGTGGGCGATGCACCCGCTCCTCAGCATCCTGGGCCGCTGGCTCTGCCAGGACAGGCGGCATGGCTTCCGGCTGGGGGCCGCCACGGAGGGGAGGGACGAGCCCCCGGACGCGTGACAAACGGACCTGTCCCATCGAGAGCTGCAGCAGTCAAACTCGGACAGGTTTGGTCTCTGGCACGAGGGTGCAGCGAGGGCTCGCAGCTGGGACGGATGCAACCCTGCCCACACACTGTGCAGGCAAAAGACGACCCACTGCACGCTGCCTGCCCCGCCCGC